GCTGCAGGCATCTTGCTACGGTTATAGCTAATGGATCTATTTGCCCTAGAAACCTGTTTCCCTCGTTTCAAGGTGCTTAACTTTATATTATATTATATATTAACCCTTCAGTTCCTTTTGTTTTATTTTGCACTGTGTATTGTGTTGGACGTGGCTGCATTGCAGTTTGTTGGTCGCTCAATATCAGTGTTTTTAACTTTTAACATTTTACTTTGCACTGTATATTTGTGTTGGACGTAGCTGCATTGCAGTTGTTGGTCGCTCAATATTGGTGCTTTTTCTAACTATTTAACTGTTAACCAATTTTATTTGTTTTTATGCCTACAACACTCTCATTTAGACACACCCTCCCTCCCCACCTTACCCACTATTTAGTGGAGACTTGGGAACCCTTTCATTAGGGATTCCATACCACACCTGTAATGCCACAAAGGTTGCTAGAGAAACTACTGTTTTTTTTTTTTTTTTTTTTTGTTTTTGTTTTTTTTTCAAAGCTATGGTGGGTACCTAACAGTAGGGGTACCATTTTGGGTACTAGTCAACTCTTTGAATGGTTTATGGTGTTCACATACTTCCATTCACTCCACTTTATATTTTATTTTCAACTAATCTTCCTATTAATTTTTTCAGCACAAACTACATATTAACTCAGACATAGTTTAATCATTATCTCCCACAATTCACACCACTTACATATTTTTACTATCTCCTCCCACACTGGCACTTCATATAGTTTTCACTAGTTCTTTATTATTATAATTATTTTTTAACTGCCTTTTATTTATTTTTCAATATATATGTATTTTGTTCTGTAATTTGTTTACTCTACTTTGTTTAGATTAATGTTATTTGACCTATACAGGAGATTGAGATAGATTATTTTGAGCAATAAAATGGGGAGTCTATCATGCAAGTACAACTTTTCTTTTGCATCTTCTCTCAGTCTTTTTCTATTTCCTCAATTTCCTTCTTTCCTGGACTCGACACGGGAATGTCGGGCATATGACCTGGTACCGGGTTAGAAACATTCCTGCTCAGTTGTGCTATGCCCCTGATGATTCACAACTTAAATTTAGAGCCTTGGTGTCGATGCATCCATTGTCCCAATATACCCGGGTCTCTTAACCTTCTCTTTCCTACTCTTCCATATGTTTTCTTTTATCTGCAAATTACCTTTTTCTACTTCCTGGAATTTTACACTAAAAAGTTTCAAGAACGAAGTAATTTGGGATGGGTATTCTTGTTGTTGGTGCTGTTGTTGTTTTATTTCGTTTCTCACTTCGTCTTTTTATTGTAGATGTTTTTTTTTTTTGTTTTGTTTTTGTTTTGTTTTTACTTGAGTCCCCTGTTCTTTTTTAACACCCTCCTTTAATTAGAACAGCTACAAATTTTTTTTTTCCTTACTCTCGATGTTCTAAAGAACGAAATAATATTATAGATCATCATATTTTGTGGTTAGCAATTTATCTTCTTTAATAACAATTTTTAAAGAGGGTTTAACCCCCCCTTTTTTTTTCCTTTTTTTTTTTCCTGCCCATTTCCTTTTTCATTTAGCTGGGATAAATTTATCCCCATGCTCCTCCCATTTTCCACTAGAACAGCAACTGGCTTTTTAGCCACTTTCAAAGTTTTAAGAACGAAATAACATTATAGATAATTATATTTTCTGGTTGGCAGTTTATTTATTTATTTATCTATTTTAAAAAAAAAAAAAAAAAAAAAAAAAGTCATGTTTAAGTAGGGTAACCCCCTTTTTTCATCCATTTTCGTTTTCATTCAGCTGGGATAAGTTCGTCCCCAGACTCCTCTCATTTTGTACGTCATCATGCTGACGATTAACTATGGCGTGAGCAGCAAAAAAATTGTTTTTGCTACTTTTTGTGGGCCACATCCATGAGAAGAGGAATTTTTGTCTACTAGCTGAGGAGTTTCTAAGTTTTTTTGCTCGCTAATTGGTCTGCTACGGAGGCTATCTGAAGTATTTTAGAGTAAGTAATCATTTACCTTTTTTTCCAAGACCTTTCAGTACTTTCACGTGTCAATTAAAAATGCTGCAGGCATCTTGCTACGGTTATAGCTAATGGATCTATTTGCCCTAGAAACCTGTTTCCCTCGTTTCAAGGTGCTTAACTTTATATTATATTATATATTAACCCTTCAGTTCCTTTTGTTTTATTTTGCACTGTGTATTGTGTTGGACGTGGCTGCATTGCAGTTTGTTGGTCGCTCAATATCAGTGTTTTTAACTTTTAACATTTTACTTTGCACTGTATATTTGTGTTGGACGTAGCTGCATTGCAGTTGTTGGTCGCTCAATATTGGTGCTTTTTCTAACTATTTAACTGTTAACCAATTTTATTTGTTTTTATGCCTACAACACTCTCATTTAGACACACCCTCCCTCCCCACCTTACCCACTATTTAGTGGAGACTTGGGAACCCTTTCATTAGGGATTCCATACCACACCTGTAATGCCACAAAGGTTGCTAGAGAAACTACTGTTTTTTTTTTTTTTTTTTTTTTTTTTTTTTTGTTTTTGTTTTTTTTTTTTTTTTTCAAAGCTCAGATGTGATCTACTCATCGAACTCAGCAAAGAACATCGGTGCGTGGTTCGACACTGTCATGTCTATGGACAAACAAACAGCATACGTCAGTCTGCTTCCTACCACCTGCGCAACATTGCTCAAATCAGTAAACATATCTCTTTCCGTCATCGTGAAACTTTGATCTACGCATTCGTAACATCCAAGATTGACCACTGTAATATACTACTCTCAGGTGTTAGGCAGGATCAAGTCCGAAAACTCCAGTATGTCCAGAATTCAGCAGCCCGACTTAACAGGCTCACGTAAACACGAGCATATTACACCTGTACTATGGTTACCCGTTCATGAGTGTATTCGTTTTAAAATTTTACTAATGACTTTTAAATATCTTAATCAACTAGCGCCATCCTATCTCAGTGACCTCTTAATTCACCATAGGCCATCAAGGACATAACGTTCGTCTGATAAAGAACTACTGGTACAGCCCCGCTGCCATCTTAAAACTTATGGGGAGCGAGCTTTCTCCTTTATTGCCCCAAAACTGTTAAGACGTACCTTTTTAGAATTTACTCAGAACTGTGAGAATCATTAAGTATTACGTTTTTTCAGGCTTTTCTATGTTATTTAGTTTTCTTTATCATTCACTGTTGTAAAGCGCTGTTGGTTTAGTAGAGAAACAACGTTTATATAAGATTATTATTAGTTATTACTATTAAACGAACTTTAACAACCAGTTGCAAAAGTGCTGAGCTACTCTGACGAAAAACCGGCCTTCTTAATTCAAATCGCTGCTTGTCACTGACTCGTCCAGTGAGATACAATACTCACCTCACCCTTCCCCTCCATTCAAAGTTGTTCTTCCAAATGTTGAACATGGTCATGTACTGCTAGCAACTTCGGTAAGGGAAGGAGGTGGGATCACAAGCACAAGATCATGGCCAGGCCATTTAAGCAAAAATAAGGTATGGTATAGTGTCTCAAATATCTTTGAAACTCGTTGTAGCTTTTTTAAAAGGGCTATTATACAATAAATCCTTCGTCGGTCAGTTACCTTTTAAACACGGCCGGTTGCACGAAAATCAGTGACCTTTCGATGCGTGCTCGCAGACTTCAATAACCCGTTCATCAAAGTAGTACTAACAGTACTGTTTCCCTCATTTCGTTTAATAGGCCATCTTACAGTTATGCCGGGATGGAAGTGAGGCTGGAGGTGACCTTGTTTTGATACAAACCTTTCTTCTTTACTATGTAAATCAAGTTGTTCTTATGCAAACTAGTATTTTTCAAGGACAATTTCTATAACAAAGCAAAGGAGGTTTGTATTAAGACAAGATCAACCTCAACCTCACATTTACTCGAAGGCTAGGGTACTAAGGGCCTGTTTACATGGAGGTGGAAGACCCCAGATAAGCGAGGTAACATGTGGCGGGTCACCCCACCTATCATGTAAACATGATCAAATAGGCCATTTCCGAGTTCCCCCGGGACTCTGTTTCAAAACGAGGGTAAGTGCTCAACCTTTGACATGGAAATCATTTTTCATTCTCGTGCAAATACAACTCATTTTCACAAGAAAGGTTGTGCACCTAGCCTCATTTTGAAAGCGAGGCTTTTTGGAACTCGGAAGTGGCCTATTAAAATAAAAGATTATATCGAAAGTTGATTACCCTACCTAAGTGGGTTACCTCACCTAACTGGGGTCCCCTACGTCTATGTAAACAGGCCATAAGTCCACAACTGTAAAATAGTCTCTTGTTTGTATAGAGCTTGTTATACTCATTTGATCTCTTAAAATTTGAGAACAATGTACGTTTAAAATATTTTGACGCCGTTTTGGAACTTCATATAATAAAACAACCTGTCTACACTTTAAGCATGTATTTTTCGTGCGATGATCAGATGCGAGAAACTCGCGAAGTTACGAAAAGCTTTAAAGTTTGAGTCTCAAAGAGACATCTCAGTGTATGAAAGAATAAATGTTGTCAAAACATAAGCCTCTTTCAATGGTATCCGCAGTTATATGGAAACACCACCTAATTTTTCTAAAGAGGTCGGAAGAAAATGGTTTTCGACCTCGTATGGAATCATAAACCTGTGAAAATTAAAAAGACCACTCTGATAACATTTTTTATTTTAAGACCAATTAATTAAAAATCGGTTAATATTACTTTAAATTATCACAACGTTTTGATAATAACATTGTCAAATGAACCTGTAGAACTTGTTTGTGCAACGAAGACGACGAAGTTTGTTTGTAAAATACTTTATGGTGTTCTAAAAATATGTATGAAGAAATAAATTATAAAACTGTGATAAAACTAAGAAAAAGATGAGCCATAGGCTAAGGGAATTTTATAGCTTTCAAGCTTAAGCTTGTTTTATCATGTTTACTGTTGTTTTACTTGTTTTTAAGAAAAGATAACAATCCAACTAATCTAAAGCACTTGTTCATAAATATCTGCGTTTCAGAATGCCTCCACTACCAAAGTTTGACCGACGGTAACAGGAAAGTGTCCCACGGTTCATCTCCACTTCTTTGTGATAATACACTCCCACATGGATGGTATCGTTTCCAAGGTAACGCGGGGACAAAAATGCCTACGTCATGCGTTTCTGACTACAGATGTAGTACTCATGCCACTGGCTGGCTTAACGGTGCTCATCCGTCAGTAGAAGAAGGCAAAGTCACCAAAAAGGTCTGCTTCAGCTGGGCCTCAAACTGCTGCAGGTGGTCGATCAATATTGAAGTACTCAACTGCGGAGATTTCTTCCTGTATCACTTCAAAGGAACTCCCCCGGAACATCCATGTACTCTTCGTTATTGTGGTACAGACTGAGGGAATCAAGGTTTTCGAATTCCCATTCTTCGGGACAAAAAAGTGTGTTCAAACGCCCGCCTTAAGTTCAGAATAGACGACCAAGTAGCTTTTCATACTAGAGGGAATTACTTACTATAGAATTTAGTGAATCTGAGAAGTAAAACTTATATTTGCCTAAAGTTTTACTCTCAGAGTTTCAATCCTTACTCCTAATAGTAGGCTTGTTGGCTTGTTTGGTTAGTAAGTTTCCTTGTGAGTTTCTGAAGAAACTGTAGTGTTGCCTCAATAGCAGAGGGAAATGTAAAAAATTGTAGTTTGCATATTTTGCGTTCGCTGATAAAACGTAGCCTTTAATTTAGTGTGCAGTAAACACTCATCATCATCAAGTCTCATCGCGCCTGGTACAATATCTGAAAATTAAAATTACTCAACTTCCTGGTGGATTCTGTCTTAATATGTTTATGCCATTCTTTAATCTAATTTCTTAGGATATGATGTTACTAGTCTTAGTATGGGGGCATAGCTTTAGCATTATACACAAGTGCTTTGAAATACAGTCCAAGGGCTTAACTCCCTGGATGACGCATAGGTTACGTTCTGAATAGTAAAGATTACGTTGGAACCAAGTTATAGGTGCGCTGCTGCCTCTTAGATATTAAGAGTTATATAATTTATAGTGACGTTTATGGCAAACAGCGAACGTCAGATTCAAAATAGAAAATGTGCAGCTAAAAAAAGTAAAAAACAGTTGTTACTAATTTGGGGTGGAAGTAATTAACGATCACGTGGTACAAACTCATTTACCGTTTGCCGTAAAACGTCACTCTAAGTCTCAGTCTCCATTGTTTGCTGTTAGTAATATATCCCGAACCTCCCCACAGCCAGTGAGTCGCTAAGCTCAAAGACCGGGCCCGGGAGACAGCGGCCAGCGAGCCTAGTGACTCCCCCGAGTTCCAGGGTTTTCCAGAGTTTAGTTTACAGTAATTTGTCAGGCCAAAACCCAAATTCACTGCAATGTAGGAAAAAACCTATTTTCACATTACGACGATTTGCCCTTGTAGGAGGGTCGAGAAGATGACGTTTCGAGCCGGCTAGACCTTCTTCAGAGCGAACCAGAGACCGTGCCGTATTTTGTGAGATTCCTGTATCGTTTTAAGCGATCTGGGCTTGTCAAAGGGGCCCATGCAGGAGTAGGGAGAGGGGGTAGAGTACTCTGGGGTTAAAAAGACGGGATAATCAGCGAGGGCTTTTTGGGTTCGATTCCGCGATTTTTTGGGTAGGAAAGTTTGGCAGTATTTTTTGGTTGGCTTGATTCAAGTAGGGATTTTGTTTGGGCAGATTCAAATCAATCTGAGGATTCGTGGTAGCGCCAGCGAATCCAGCCGCGTAGTTCTGAGAACAAAGTAAAACCAAACTTGTTTCAGCTGTTCAGTTTTTGCGACTCTTTTAATTTAATATTCAATACTTTCTGGATATTTTTAAGGCTCGGAAAATTCGGCATGGGATTTTTTTTAGAGGGTTAATGTTTGTTGGAGGCCCTAGGGATTTTTTGGGGTTTTGATATTTACCCCCCTTCGATTATCCCTGTCACTTGTTTGAATTCCGCAGTATTTTCCCCCCTGGAATCACAACGCTAGCCATATCGCTTCAAAACGACAGTGAGGAACACAAAAAAGCGTTAAGTTTATTTCATTTGAATTTTATACCCCAAGATAACCTAACGGATGAGGCGATATTTTTTTCCTTTTTTTAATATTTCCCGTATGATCCCTTTTAATTAATAGCTACCAAACTTTATCCCACTTACAGTGAGCAAATAAAACCGCATAAAATATTGACGAATATATTCAAAACAAGCTGATTACCTCCTGCTTTTAAATGTCGAAAAAAAAATGATAACGCCTTGAAGGACATAAATTTAAATGATAAATATAACAGTGAAAATGAAGGGTGGTCTGACACGTATGACATTCTAAGGACTTTCTTTTCTGAAAAAAATAATAATGATGAAAGAATAATAATAATAATATATCTGCAACTTAGTTTTTAATGCAAAATTTTTAAGTATGGCGCTGAGGAAAAGCGACGCCGAGCTAGTTTCCATTTAAAAGCTGAAAAAAAAAACTAGCATATAGTTTGGTCTTTGGCAACAACCAAACATCAGTAGTCCAAACAAATGCAGCTGAAAATTGAAGTGTTCTCTTTAGAGTATTAATAAGAGAACGAGCTACGCAAACAGCAAAAACATGGCAAGTAACAGAATTTAAACTAAATTGCCCAGAATTATCGGTATTATGAACTTTATTATTTATATTCTCTTTTACTTTTGTAGTTCACTTTGACATTTTTTCTCTCTTTCTCTGTTTTACAATCTTTTCTTTTCTAAAGGTGATGTCACACAGGACGATTCGCAACGACGATTTTTAGCGCAACACAGCTTTGCAATAATGCTGTAACAATGTTGTAACCATTCGAAACAATGTCGCAACAATGCTGCAACGCTGCGCTGGGCTAAAAACTACTGAAGTAGTTTCTGACTACAATCCTCGTCAAAAATCTTGAAACAGTTGTGTGCGTTTCCCCTTCCCCAATGTTGATTTGGGTATTACAGTGGTCTCAGTGCTTCAAAATATGCGTGGCTCAACATGGGAGAGGGAGAGCGCACATTACAGTGAGAACAAAAGTGTGAGGAGTAAATCTCAAGAATTTTTTAGAAAATTCAAGAGAAGCGGTATCTGTTTCAACGATTTGTGACGAGTATTGTAGTATAAATATTGACAGCACCGGACATGCCTGTGAGTCATAAAAGTGGGTATCCATAAATAATTAAACGGCAATTTGATTAGTATGCCGGGAAAACAAGTTGTCACATCAAATTTGCGGATGTACCCAAGCTAAAAAAAGACGCAAACGGTACAAGTTGATTCTTTAAAAACTAAATTGTTTTTCACTTTTATCATTTTGAAAGCGTTAGACGTGACTGTGAGAAAAAGGTTTTGAAAACTAGGGATCGATCAAAGGAACCTTAATTAACAAACTGAAAGTGAACTACTCGCCTTTGTAAAGCGCTTTCTACTAATGACGTCACAAATTTCTGGTCCCTGCTGTGACTCAGACATTAAACCTGACCAGTGTAAGAGTTTAGTATGGGAAAGTCAAGTTCGACAACAAATTTTCGTCGTCTTTGAAGATGTTTATCGTTAAAGGAAACAAAATCCACCTTGGCTTCGATAATAAATATCCTGAAAATAATCAACTCGTGCCAAGACAGCGTTAAACGTGGAAAAAACTGTACTGATGAGTGGTTTTATTTCTTATGCGGCGTCATATTTGCTGTGGGTAAAATTATGTTAAAATGTGTGGAGAGCAGGGCTTCATAGCTGTGCGTGAAACGGTGCATTTGGTTAAATTTATAGGCAAAGGTTGCTCAATTTTTTTTTCGAGCGCTTATGTTACGCTATAGTACTACGGAATATAAAGTACTAAAGTATTCGTCGCGGATTCATATGGTCTACCTGGCCGCACAACAACAGAACAAACTTATACAATTTCCGGTTTGTGCTAATATTGGTGTGCTTTTCACCTTAGATATTCTGTCACAGGCTTGCGAGAAGCACATCCAAACTCGATTTTCTGTTTAGCAATTTCGGTTTTGGAGTATTACACAGCCAATAATGTTATGTCATGTTTCAGTGCATAGCGGTGCTTTCTGTAAGACACAGAGCTAGGGATCCGATTTCAGTAGCCTTCTTTGATCGAGTCGCTTTATTTTCTGATTTTAACCATTTATTTGAGTTACTGGACCAGGTTTTGCTCCCAATAGCAGTAGTGCCTTTTATATATTGGAATTATGCTCAAAAAACATTTTAAAAACGCTCACTGCGAATTTTATGAACAATTTTCATGTCGGAAACGTATGTTTCCCATACAAAGCCTTGGAGTAGAATGCAAAGTTTGTCTGAGTCACGCGGGGGGTCTAAGGTGACAAAACCTATTTTTAGTAATAGTATAAAGCGCTATTGAAGTAGAAAGAGCATCGTACCGACTCTCTATACGTACCTAAAGAGATCCCGCAGCAAGAAGTATCACCAGCTGAGTCTTCTAATCTGCATTACTTGGTTCACCGCATGTATCTACCCTTTAATATTATTTTCCCCCAAATAATTTCGAAAAATTTAACATCTTTCAAGGCTTAATCGAATAGAAAAGTCCAACTTATTAATGTTTTTCTTTTGAAGGCTGTTAAGTCATGAAGGTGCTGAAACAAATCTTCTGTATGTCCGTTATATCTGTTTTGGGCCAAGTGCACTGCGCAGTGGTAACTCCACAATGCCCGAGCAGTGGATACGAGATATCCATACTGGGTTGGATGTTACAAGGACACATTTACAAAACGATGGAGGCAAACTCCCCGCTAGGTTGCTTATTCGCTTGTAGAGAAGACGATCGATGCCAAAGTTTCAATTGGGTGATCTCTCGTCACTTGTGCGAGTTTAATAACAGAACAAAGGAAGCCAGACCTAAGGATTTCGTTTCAAACACAGACAGATTTTACTTTAGACGATACAAAAACAGAGGTAAAAAGGTGTTTTAGACAATACTACCTAAGAAACAGAGAAGACCTTATTGAAACATTTGAAAACAATCAAAGACCTGTTCAGGTTTTGGGGGTGTCGTAAATTCACTTCAAGTAATACGTTTCAGTATTTAGGCCACTAGGACTTAAAGATTGATAAAGATTTCAGCGTCATTGCAACAAATCAAATTCCCCACTTTAGAAATGAGGTGGAAACTGGGCCTTTAACTTTCGCAAGGAAGTATGGGACTGCTCTGTGGACAGGGATCCCAGAAGTCTTTGCGAAAGGTAACTCGGCTTAGTTTCCTACCGTTTCTAAAGGGGCAAATGCAAAACAGAGTTCAATAGAGAGGACAGGTCATTACGTTACGTTGCCTGGTAGCAACATTTCTGGACGACAACAAACCAAAATGTCACTTAAAAAGTAGATTAGCACTGTTTCAAACTTTATCGATCTTATTTAATTTCATTTAATTTGTCAAATGTTGACGACATTTTGGGGTTGAATCCGAAAGGACCGTATCTAAGTTTAGAAAAAGGAAAAAAAACATTCTGTTGTGCTCACCTACTCCATAAAGTAGGCGAGTGAAATTAGGAAGTTTCATGTCGCAGTCGTTAAACAACGGTCAAGAAATGTACAAAAAAGCGTGATGGACGTGCAAAGTCGTTTTTTATGGCGACTCTTCCAAAACCGAATTCACGAAAACGATCGAGAGCTCCACATGATGGCGCACTGGTTTGCTGAAGAGATGACCCAAGCAAGAATCTCAAAATAACTAATTAATATTTCTCCAGGAAAGATGGGGACAAAAAATCCACCACAAATTAGCAAACACTTACGACAAATTGAAGAAGATAAAACCATAAAAATATGAAGACAGTGGCAGGTCGGAGTCCGGGGAGGTGGTGGGAAAAATTTTCAACTAATGGCAATAGCTGGAAGGGCCGCGCTAAACATATAACAAGTCTTTTATACAGAACTAAACACGTTCGATCTCCTGATTGGCCAGGGAACCACCGCCTGCACACTGCTGATAAGAAACGGGAAATGCCTCGAACTAAAATCACAGTATGATTCCATCTTCTCATCATAATGATTGTTTTTGCTAATATAAACCTACTGCTTTTTTGCTGTTCGCCGTCGCCGTTGCAAAAACTCCCTCTTGTTGTGATCTAGAAATTTTGCTACCACTGTAACATGACGTCACACTTCTCCTCTCTAAATCTGTTCTGTCTCTCCAGTCCCTCTCGGTTCAATTCCTGAACTGCCGGCTGAATCTTGCAAGGAAGTAATGGCAAGCGAGGAACAAGCGGTTAGCGGCAAGTACTGGTTATACACCATAAAAGACAACATTCCTGTTCCAGCTCACTGTGAAATGGAAACTTTCGGTAAGTTCTAAACTACACTGAAAATACCCCTAGAAACACACTGCAGGCTTCTTATTCCTAACCGTGGACATTTAATAGGCAGACTAACCTTTTCTTCTTTTCGTATCACCGGCAGTCACCTCTATTTCAATTGCCAGAGCACCCTATAGAAACCCAATGATTTGGTCATTTTTACGTTTGTCCTCGGGTTTGCACGTGTGTAGTTCTGATCAGTATTACGGCTACTTTAAGCATGCAAGTTTATCCTGCATTGATCAAATACCTAGCGTTTACAAAACTTTTGTTTTTGCACGTCCACACTAAAACAGTAAGAAGGCGTTCAAAAGTCTTTTTATTATTATTTTAGAAAGCGTTTTTAAAAAAATTCCATCGTGCAAGTTTGCGTTTTCAAAAATAAACCGATTAGGTAGGGAAAAGAGGTCTTCCGTTTCTCGTCCCACTAAAAGACTAATTGCTGGGCGCCCACAGGCAGGTTTTGTAACGCCTCTAGAGGGGCATAGCCTTGGAATATGTCCATACTTGAGACCACGGCTAATAATAATAATAATTTAATGACGATTTACATTCATTGATCAACAGCGCTTAACAACTTTAAAAAAAAACTACAATAAAATTCAAATTTGTAAAACTAATTACATGCATGTACATGAATATTAACAATGTATATTAATAATAATAATAATAATAATAATAATATAGAATATTTATAATGATAATAATAAACTTAATTAGTAAAACTAATAAGTGAATGTCAACAGGTTGCGTTGTAAAACCTGCATGAAATAAATAAGTTTCCAGCTTGCATTTAAAAATAGCTAATGATTGAATATCACGTAATTCAGCTGGCAAACTTTCCATAAATATGGGGCAGCAGCAGAGAAAGATCTGTCACCTAACGTGACAAGCATTTTTCCTTTAGGAGGGTATAGCAATAAACTTTGATTTGATCTAAGATTATATATAGACCTAGGCTTAATGTTAATTAGTTCTATGATATACTTAGGTGCCAATCCATGAATAGCTTTAAATGTTAAAATTAAGATCTTAAAATGAACACGATGTGATCTACTCATCGAACTCAGCAAAGAACATCGGTGCGTGGTTCGACACTGTCATGTCTATGGACAAACAAGTAAACAGCATACGTCAGTCTGCTTCCTACCACCTGCGCAACATTGCTCAAATCAGTAAACATATCTCTTTCCGTCATCGTGAAACTTTGATCCACGCATTCGTAACATCCAAGATTGACCACTGTAATATACTACTCTCAGGCCGGTCTTAGGCAGGATCAAGTCCGAAAACTCCAGTATGTCCAGAATTCAGCAGCCCGACTTAACAGGCTCACGTAAACACGAGCATATTACACCTGTACTATGGTTACCCGTTCATGAGTGTATTCGTTTTAAAATTTTACTAATGACTTTTAAATGTCTTAATCAACTAGCGCCATCCTATCTCAGTGATCTCTTAATTCACCATAGACCATCAAGGACATTACGTTCGTCTGATAAAGAACTACTGGTACAGCCCCGCTGCCATCTTAAAACTTATGGGGAGCGAGCTTTCTCCTTTATTGCCCCAAAACTGTTAAGACGTACCTTTTTAGAATTTACTCAGAACTGTGAGAATCATTAAGTATTACGTTTTTTCAGGCTTTTCTATGTTATTTAGTTTTCTTTATCATTCACTGTTGTAAAGCGCTGTTGGTTTAGTAGAGAAACAACGTTATATAAGATTATTATTATTTATTACTATTAAACGAACTTTAACAACCAGTTGCAAAAGTGCTGAGCTACTCTGACGAAAAACCGGCCTTCTTAATTCAAATCGCTGCTTGTCACTGACTCGTCCAGTGAGATATAATACTCACCTCCCCCTTCCCCTCCATTTAAAGTTGTTCTTCCAAATGTTGAATATGGTCATGTACTGCTAGCAACTTCGGTAAGGGAAGGAGCTGGGATCACAAGCGCAAGATCATGGCCAGGCCATTTAGGCAAAAATAAGGTATGGTATAGTGTCTCAAACATCTTTGAAATTCGTTGTAGCTTTTTTAAAAGAGCTATTATACAATAAATCCTTCGTCGGTCAGTTACCTTTTAAACACGGCCGGTTGCACGAAAATCAGTGACCTTTCGATGCGTGCTCGCAGACTTCAATAACCCGTTCATCAAAGTAGTACTAACAGTACTGTTTCCATTACAGTTATGGATGGAAGTGAGGCTGGAGGTGACCTTGTTTTGATACAAACCTTCCTTCTTTCCTATGTAAATCAAGTTGTTCTTATGCAAACTAGTATTTTTCAAGGACAATTTCTATAACAAAGCAAAGGAGGTTTGTATTAAAACAAGATCAACCTCAACCTCACATTTACTCGAAGGCTAGGGTACTAAGGGCCTGTTTACGTGGAGGTGGAAGACCCCAGATAAGCGAGGTAACATGTGGCGGGTCACCCCACCTATCATGTAAACATGATCAAATAGGCCATTTCCGAGTTCCCCCGGGACTCTGTTTCAAAACGAGGGTAGGTGCTCAACCTTTGACATGGAAATCATTTTCATTCTCATGCAAATAAAACTTATTTTCACAAGAAAGGTTGTGCACCTAGCCTCATTTTGAAAGCGAGCCTTTTTGAACTCGGAAGTGGCCTATTAAAATAAGAGATTATATCGAAAGTTGATTACCCTACCTAAGTGGGTTACCTCAACCTAACTGGGGTCCCCTACGTCCATGTAAACAGGCCATAAGTCCACAACTGTAAAATAGTCTCTTGTTTGTATAGAGCTTGTTATACTCATTTGATCTCTTAAAATTTGAGAACAATATACGTTTAAAATATTTTGACGCCGTTTTGGAACTTCATATAATAAAACAACCTGTCTACTCTTTAAGCATGTATTTTTCGTGCGATGATCAGATCCGAGAAACTCGCGAAGTTACGAAAAGCTTTAAAGTTTGAGTCTCAAAGAGACATCTCAGTACGAAAGAATAAATGTTGTCAAAACATAAGCCCCTTTCAATGGTATCTGCAGTTATATGGAAACACCACCTAATTTTTCTAAAGAGGTCGGAAGAAAATGGTTTTCGACCTCGTATGGAATCATAAACCTGTGAAAATTAAAAAGACCACTCTGATAACATTTTTTATTTTAAGACCAATTAATTAAAAATCGGTTAATATTACTTTAAATTATCACAACGTTTTGATAATAACATTGTCAAATGAACCTGTAGAACTTGTTTGTGCAACGAAGACGACGAAGTTTGGTTGTAAAATACTTTAAGGGGTTCTAAAAATATATGTATGAAGAAATAACTTATACAACTGTGATAAAACTAAGAAAAAGATGAGCCATAGGCTAAGGGAATTTTATAGTTTTCAAGCTTAAGCTTGTTTTATCATCTTTACTGTTATTTCACTTGTTTTTAAGAAAAGATAATAATCCAACTAATCTAAAGCATTTGTTCATAAATATCTGTGTTTCAGAATGCCTCCACTACCAAAGTTTGACCAACGGTAACAGGAAAGTGTCCCACGGTTCATCTCCAGCTCTTTGTGATAAGTCACTCCCACATGGATGGTATCGTTTCCAAGGTAACGCGGGGACAAAAATGCCTACGTCATGCGTTGCTCCTCACAAATGTAGTACCCATGCCACTGGCTGGCTTAACAGTGCTCATCCGTCAGTAGAAGAAGGCAAAGTCACCAAAAAGGTGTGCTTCAGCTGGGGCTCAAACTGCTGCAGGTGGTCGATCAATATTGAAGTAATCAACTGCGGAGTTTTCTTCCTGTATCACTTCAGAGGAACGCCCCCACAACATCCATGTAATCTTCGTTATTGTGGTACTGACTGAGGGAATCAAGGTTTTTGAATTCCCATTCGTCGAGGCAAAAAAATGTGTTCAAACGCTCACCTTAAGTTCAGAATAGACAACCTAGTAGCTTTTCATACTAGAGGGAATTACTTACAATAGAGTTTAGTGAATCTGAGAAGTAAAACTGTATATTTGCCTAAAGTTTTACTCACAGAGTTTCAATCCTTACTCCTAATAGTTGGCTTGTTGGCTTGTTTGGTTTGTAAGTTTCCTTATGAGTTTCTAAAGAAACTGTAGTGATGCCACAATAGCAGAGGAAAATGTAAGAAATTGTAGTTTGCATATTTTTCGTTCGCTGATAAAAAGGTAAAAACCAACGTAGCCTTTAATTTAGTGTGCAGTAAACACTAATCATCTTCAAGCCTCATCTTGCCGGTAGGCACATAAGGCCTCCACGCTGTCTGACCAACACTTTCTGTCTTGTGCAACCGCTTTGGCCAGCTCTTTCACCCAGCTTTGTTTCGCTATTTCTCGACTGTCCTTCTCCAAGTAGTTTCTGGTCTTCCTCTCACGCTCCGACCTTCAGTAGTCCATCATAATGCTGTGAAGCAGTCGTTCACACCCTCTCTCCTAATTATATGATCTAGCCAGTTCAACCTTCTTTGTCGCACCTCATATCTTATGTCATTGATCTCAGCCAACTCAACCATTCTCTTGTTTGTCATTCTCTCCTGCCATCTAATCCGCAGTATCCGTCTCAAAGCCCTGGCACTGGAAGCTATTTAGCTTCTGTTCATCGTTCTTGGTGATCTTCCAAGTTTTACAGCCGTATCTTGATTCTCCTTCCTATTTCTCTAGCTGCCCAGACCCTTCTTAGTCTCTGGAATGTGTCTTGTGCCTTTTGCGGACGGTGCATAATGTCCTGGTTACCTTCACCCTCCTTGTCTACAGTAGCTCCAAGGTATGTAAACTCCACAACGTCTTCCACTTCTTCACCATCCACCATAACGTTTTCCCTACTAGTGGAACACTCAGTCCTTGGCCTTAGTGTCTTGCACTTTCTCCCATTAAGTTTGAGTCCTGCTCTGGCTGCTTAATTCCTCCCCAATCTCTTAGTCTTTACGTACAAGTCATTGACTCGATGACAGTGGTGCAATGTCATCTACGAAATCAAGGTCCTCCAGCACTGTTGTTATCTCTCTTCTCTCAGTCGTTTGCTGTTGCCTTCCTCATGACCCAATCCAAGCAAAGTGAGATTAGGAAACCTGACATCCCGCACCCCTGTTTTACCCCAGACTTGATCATAAACCAGTCTGATGTCAAACTCCCGTCAACTACCGTCGACAACAGCCGTTAACACTACATGTTGTTAAATATTGAGGCGGTAACTATTCTGAAAGCTGACTACTTTACTATGCGTTGTGGTTGTGATTCAGTCTTTTAAAAGCTGAGACATCCACGTGTTTACTTTTGAAAGCGATTAATGTTTAAGCATGAAGTTCAGTTTCATCCAATATATATAGAGAATGAAAAAATAATTGTGATATTCTGTAATCTAATTTCTTAGGAAATGATGTTACTAATCTTAGTATGGGGTTATTACTAGCTTTAGCATTAAATACTAGTGCTTTGTAAGATGTACATGAAATACAGTCCAAGGGCTGAACCCCTGGCTGACGCGTTGGTTGCGTTCTGAATAGTAAAGATTACGTTGGAACCAAGTTATTGCTGCTCTGATGCCTCTTAGATATTTAACAATTATTCCTCGAGCCCGAATCTATTGACTCAGAGGTCATAAGGGTGACAGGAATAATTGTTTTAGTAAAATCTAACTAGTTGGTCAAAAATATCGAGACTAAACAACTTTAGCTAGCAAAACGCGATTCAGCCGCCATTGTTTTGGTTTTCAAAGCCGACGCTTTCAGCTACTAGTGGGCTATAACATATAGCCTAGAAGGAGCTTAACCAACAGAACGCAGGATTGATAATAGACCACTAGTTGGATTTTACTATTAGGAGATATATACTTTATAGTGACGTTTATGGGAAACTGCAAACGTCAGATTCAAAATAGAAAATGTGTAGCTAAAAACAGTACAATACAACTGTTACTTGTTTGGGGTGAAAGTAATTAACTGTAAAGTGCAAGTTAAAGAAAAACATTGTCACGTGGTACAAATTCATTTGCCGTTTGCCGTAAACGTCACTATAAGTCTCAATCTCCATTGTTTGCTGTTAGTAATAGATCCCGAACCTCCCCACAGCCAGTGAGTCGCTAAGCTCAAAGACCAGGCCCGGGAGACGGCGGCCATCGAGCCTAGTGACTCCCCCGAATTCCAGGGTTTTCCAGAGTTTAGTCTACAGTGATTTCTCAGGCCAAAACAAAAATTCGGTCCAAAGTAGGAAAAAACCTATTTTCACATTACGACGACTTGCCCTTGTAGGAGGATCGAGAAGATGACGTTTCGAGCCGGATAGACCTTCTTCAGAGCAAACCAGGGACTGTGCCGTACTTTGTGTGATTCCTGCATCGTTTTAAGGGATCTGGGCGGCAGGGCAGAAAAACCGCTGATTGGTTGCCGTTTTCGCGGCAGTTTGTGGTCTCCGCTGACCATCTTACAACGAATCAAGTAGTCTACAAAAAAGAGCAAAGTTTGAAGCCAAATACATAGTTAACCATGGCTAGTTTGGTGATTATGATCTAATATCCCCAAACTAGAACTCATTGACAGGCGATGTCAAGAGTTGTAGCGAAATCAGATTAGGAATACACTTTAGGGTGCTTGCTGAAAATGCGCGGGACAGTGTGTAGTTCATAGAGACATTATACGACCAATAGCTCTTAAACAATTTGCAAAAATAAGAAACAGGTGGAGTATTTAAGGTTCAAAATTCGACCAACCAAAAGGCTAAAAGCCAAGAAGCAAAATAAGAAATACGTAAAAAAATCGAACAGTACGTTTTTCTGTGGCTTGCTGTTTTTTGTTTTTGCATCCCCCTCGCGGTGAAAACACTCAAACGTAATCGCCGGTGAGAAGCTTCCACAAATGTACAGCCAATCTTACCTCTAAAAGGATCGATCCTCTTGCACTTAGAAGGTAGATAGCAGCGCTAAAATATATTTCCTTGGACAAGTAAAAAAAGGAAAAGATTTGTAAACATCAAACTCTTCGCCTACGGCTTGTGTCCACTTACTGACTAGTAGGCGCCAGCTTCCCGGCCTCATGCTTTGCGCGCGAAATTATGAATGAAACTGGAGACGCCGCTCGTTTTTTCCCGCTTCAAAAAGCTTCAAAAATGTCAAAAAATAGTTACCGACCGCTTCACTGTCAAGTTCCGGTCTTTTTGCGTGCGTTTCCGGCGGAAACTTCAGTCCAAAGTTGATTAAATAATGGAAAATGTTTGTGAACGTGGCTCCAGATTAAGAAGCGTGTCAGAAAAGTGTTGGGGTGCCACTAATTATTATTCGGGAAAAGAGGCTGTTTTACGTGGCTACTCTAGGCCGGTTTGGCTATGTTTTGGTCATGCAAAAAAATTGCAAGTGGAAAGTCAAAGGAGGTGCTGTTTTCCGAGTGAAAATGCCTGCACGCAAAGGAACAATTTACTGCCATGTCCGCAGAGGATTCTCACCGTAGCAGCAAACCTTGAAAACTACCAAGGAGGTGCATTTCTTTGCCAAGGCCACCTAAATCTCGTGGACGAAGCTCCCATATTTACCAACCACGCTCTCTACAAACCCCCTACTACGAGAAAGGTATGTTTCTTTTACACTCAAACAACAGTCAAAATGTAGAGAAACAGATCATACATTCTTAGTTTTGTTTTAGAAAATATTAATATTTTGCATTAAATTTTGCCCTATACATTTGTAGACAAAATGTACTACTTCAGTCCTATGTACTACCCCAGAAAAGAAAATAACTTGGACGGATGGAACCTCTCAGACCGCCCCTTTGCAGAGTGTTAATGAGCTAGCAGAGGCAAAACAATTAATCACCAAATTACAGCGCGAAAATGCAGCATTAAAAGAAAGATGCAACAAGCTAGAAGGTATTGTATTGACGTACTCTTAATTTCCACACATTCAAAACAAAGACGACTAGTTTCAACCTTTATTAGAAACATTTTTTTATTAATTTTCAGAGCCAACTTTTGATGAGCAGTTCAAAATGTTCCACAAGTGTCTCACTAAACATTACAAGGATGGAGGGTAGCGGCTATACGACCCTGCAGACATGGAAAAATTTGCCAACAAGTGCACCCCTGGATTGTTCAACCGTGCCTTGTGTCTAGTCAAGAATGATGAAAAACAACAGCTTTCTAAGAAAAGACATGAAATACTGAGACTGCGAGTTGTGGCACTGCTTCATCAGCTGTCTTACTTTAGAAACCAAGTGTGTATAATAATAATAAAAAATAAAATAAATAATAATACTAATAATGATAATGGTAATGATAATGATAATAATAATAGTAATAATAATAATAATAATAACAGGAACCATACTTTAGAAAGACACTTAAATTAAATTAAACACCATGGTGTGTAATAGACACAAGTGTTGCTTGTTTGTTTTCAACAAAAAAACAATCCCTTACAACAAGACTGTGGGTTGCACTTGTCCTTTCATGGTGCCAGTGATGATGCTTTGACAGCTGGCTCACTTCTAGGGTTTAGCACTCACCCGAGAAGTGTGCTAAATCATAAAAAAGGATTGCCTGGAAAAAGCATTCACAAGACACAAGCGATCGTTGAGAGTGCCATAAAGGTACATGTATTTACATACTGAAACAATTCATTATTAAACATCTGCCACTGCACAACACCCTGGCCAAAACAATAAGTTGACACAAGGTGAGGTGGCTGGATGTAAAGAAGCAGGGGCTAAATAGAAGGCACAAGGACCTTGTAACAAGGAGACAAAAACAACAAAAATAGAGTGATGTTATTTGAACCGTGAAACAGATATTAACAAACAGTGCAAAATAGCAAGAGGTAAACAAAAGAAGACAATGGAATTAATACATAATAGTGCGTAATATTCTTCTACCTGTTTCACGGTTTAAGTAAAATGACTTTAATTTATCAGTCCATAGATGTACACTGATCCAGTTAAAAATTTCCTTCCCAACAGAACAACATCTTCCTCCTGCTCATTATAGATGATTTTCATTGTGTCCAGTCTATAAAAGACCCCAAACAGAGCCAGCTGAGCAAGTGCCTTCACATGTGTACTGGAGTAGTGGATCACCAAGAATCTATACCGGCAATGCCAACAACAAGAAATGTCCACCGGGTTGTACCTGTCCGAATTGCTGGGGGTGCAATTGTTAACTGCCGGGGAGGAATTGATGCCAACAAAGTGAACGAGTTGTTTCAAGAGCATTTGTCAAATTATTTTACATTCAGTTATTTAGACTCTCTACCTGCTGATTTCAGCCAGTTTGACCTGACAAATGTAAACAAAAGTTTAGTTGAATTAAGGTATGATTTACAACAAATCAGAAACCTAAAAGTCAAGGTAGTGGTCTAATAGTCATTGGGTGCCACAAGCTTGTACAAAAAGAATAATATAACACTTTTAAGTAATAGATTTTAGTAACGTATTTCATCCAAACTTTTCATGCCATTTAACACTTTGGCATAAATCAATGCCACAGAAATTTTACAATTAACTGGCACCATAAATATCTTTATTATAAATTCCCCCTCAAAAATGAAATTGGCAACTCCCAATGTCAATAACTAGTTTTACATACAGCCCATCATAAATTTTTTCCACATACCACTTTGCATTGTCTCACAATGTAGGAATTTGACATGGAAAATTTAATATTGAATGGATAATTGACTTTCAAAAAATGTTGCATAAGGGTGCCAAAAAAGAGCATGTACAATGTTTCATGATACAAACAATAACAAATAGCTTGTAGAGTGTATACAGATGAGGCCACACTGTGGCCACACATTTTACAAAAGTTGTCTTGGTAGTTCCTCAAACTGTAACGATCATAACTACTCAATACTGTATGGTGTCAAGTGCCCCATTTGCTCTGAGCAACTTCGTTTAAGAATCCAAGAACTTGCAGACAGTTTCAACAAAGGTTTACAGGCAGGAAATGATGAAACTGACAGAAGCAATGATAATCATGATGACGACGACGATGATGATGGAAGTGACAACTCAGATGATGATGACAGTGATGATGATGATAGCAAACCTGATACACTAGCAAATAGAATACTCATTAAAGCAAAACAATCCCTTTTGCATCTTCCACAAAGTGCTTTATTTAAGTACAGCAACAAAAATTCCAAGAATGTAAACTCCACCGACTCTACTGGAGAAGCAGTAATTGTTAATACTAGTATGGTGTGTGTCACATGTGGCAGGGTCTGTAAGAGCAAAGGGGGCTTGACTCAGCATCAGAACACCCACAAAGGGGTAAATAGTTAAGTGTTTCCCTGAAATAAGAATAACAAAACAATAATCATTTCCTTTTTTAGAAGCAAATCCAAACAAATAATACAAGCCCTTTGTTTCATGTAAAATACCTTGAATAGGAATAGGCATGATAACACAGGAGAGAAACCTTAAACAATGCCTTTGTTGTTGCCTTTGTCTTGCTATAGGTATCTCAAAACAATGCAACTAGCTAGATAACAAATAAGACAGTGATCTTGTGCTTGCATTCGGAATTTGGTCCATACAATATTATATGAGATCTTTGCATTATAAAAGATTAACTCAGCCCAAGTACTATGCCAGTGAGAAAAATATAGTGATAGTCCTGTCGAGAATACTAATAAGGGACAATGTGATGTACAGGAGTAAGATAGTGTCTTCAAAATATTCCATGTTATTTTGAACATGTAAATATAATAAGATTTTCACTTCAAAATACCACATTGTATATGGGCAAGGATTGTGTATAACTCTGCTAATCATAACTCTAACAAAATTGTCAAATCTGATTGGCTCTCAACTGCCCTGATTTCAGCCTTAATTGGACAGTTTAATAGGACAGTACGCGTCATGCCTAAGTAATTGGACAGTACGCGCCATCACGCGCGCGCTTAAATGGCTTTTTTTTCACTGCTAGCAAAACAAAATTTCGAATTTCTTGTGTTTTGGTTTAAAAAATAGCCTATTGTATCACAAATTTTGTTAAAGTTATGATTAATTGGTAACAGAACTTCGCGTCGTCCAATTCGGTCTGTAATCATACTCGTGATTAAACAAATCGGACTCCCGCTACGCGGTCGTCCGATTTTGTTAATCACTCGTATGATTACAGACCGAATTGGGCTCCACTCAGTCCTGTTACCATTACTAATTCTGGATACATGTAAGCTTAAAAATTAATCCTTAAAATTTCACCTTTCTTAAAACAACCTAATTTTGTACAGTAAAATCATTCCAAATCTACATCAGTCCAAAAACAAAGTTATTAACTGTCTAAATCAGTTGGTATAAATTGATCTAAAGAAATTACAAATTGGACAACGCGTACAAAAAAATAATTTCGCTTCTAGCGGAACAATGTAAACAATTCACACCAAGGAATTCATTGAACAGTGTCAAGTCAAGTCAATCTTTATTTAAACACGGTAAAATCCATCAGGAATTTAAAAAAATTAAAAATAACCTAACTATCCTAAACAAAATTCAAAACCTGACTACAACTAATCTAACTAAAACCTGTTTTTCATGAATGCCGTGTATAACATTAAAAGTGAACATTAACTAATCTTTTAAATTGACTAAGAGATTCGGCTTCTCTCACATGACAGGGTAGGCTGTTCCAGAGAACTGCTCCGCTATAAGTAAAGCTGTTTTTCATGAAATTAGTTCGCGGAAATGGGACAAATAGTTTGTTAACAGAGTCCCTCAGGGAGTAACGCGTTTCATTTCGTTTAACAAACTTAGATGATAAATATTCAGGAACAAGGCCATTTAAAGACTTGTATACCATTATGGATTTCTGTATTTGAAATTGAGTGCTCAAGTCTTTCCAATCGAGTTGTCTAATCAAACGGTTAGCATCAGCATCATAGCTAGAGAAGGTTAAAACGCGAGCGGCACGGTTCTGAAGCTTCTGTAGCCTGTCAAATAATGTTTTACCACAATTACCCCAGACAAGATTGCAATAATCGAAATGAGATTGAATTAGTGAGTTGTATATATAGTGAAGGGTAGGTGGAGGGACAAAAGGTCTAATTCTTTTTATTGCTCCAATTCCGGAAGCGACCTTTTTAGATAATTTATCAATGTGTGTTTGCCACCGTAGATTTTCATCAATAAATATTCCAAGCGATTTGACAGAGGAAACGTGTTCTATCGGAACATTATTAATCGAGAGCTCAAGTGGGTTCGACAAAGTACTCAATTTTTGTCTGGAGCCAATTAGCATGAATTCAGTTTTAGAAGTGTTCAAAGTAAGTTTATTGGAAATAAGCCATTTGTTTAGGTTATCTAAATCGTGACTCAGAGTTAACTGTATTGAATTCACATCAACGCCAGCATAAGTAAGATGTGGATATATCTAACCTAGAATCAAAAGCCCATTAAACTTGTAACTCAGGTGCTATGAAGTGCTATTTTGTTTGAAAGTTTGGTTACTTTTAGTAATGGCTTCGCCAACTGTTAGGTGCCGCATTATACGCCTGCACGCAGCGCACGCTGCACCGCCGCCATCTCTTGGAGGATAAATAGCATCCAATGCAAATTTCGGTTAACTCATTAACTCTGAAAACGTTCACTATGTCAAAGACGAAAAATGTCTTACCTTTAAACTCAGTTGTGTAACTATAGGATCACCGAGACTTGTTGCAGGAAAACCAAACAATCGCGTAGAAGAAAGTTGATCGAAAAAAGCACATGGTTTGCTTGGCACGACTCCGTCCGTTTAACGTAATACAATCACAAAGATTACCTCCAAAGCGAAGCAAAACAAAATGATACCATTATATACAAGACCTTTCAGTGATGTATTTCAACACAGTGCTCTTCAAATTTCGGCCAAATATCTCTCATTCATGATCGCTCGATTGTAGCTCCTTCGGATCGCTCATTCTTTTGAACCAACTGCATCTGCATATGGTCAGCGGAAGGCGCAAGCGCATGCTCTCAGTGGAATTTTTTTTAACCAATCAGCGGTTTTTCTGCCCTGCCGATCTGGGCTGGTCAAAGGCCCAGGAGTAGGGAGAGGGGGTAGAGTACTCCGGGGTTAAAAAGACGAGATGATCAGGGAGGGCTTTTTGGGTTCGATTCCGGGATTTTTTTGGTGGGAAAATTTAGCAGTATTTTTTGGTTGGCTTGATTCAAGTAGGGATTTTGTTTGGGCAGATTCAAATCAATCTGAGGATTCGTGGTAGGTCAGCGTATGCCAGCCGCTTAGTTCTGAGAATAGTATAAAACCAAACTTGTTTCAGCTGTTCAGTGTTTTGCGGCTCTTTTAATATTCAATAATTTCTGCAAATTTTTAAGGCTCGGAAATTCGGGATGGGATTTTTTTGTGGGGGGTTAATGTTTGTTGGAGGCTTTAGGGATTTTTTTTGGTTTTGATATTTTTCCCCATTCGATCACCCCTGTCACTTGAATTCTGGAGTATTTCCCCCCTGGGATCACAACGCTAGCCATATCGCTTCAAAACGACAGTGAGGAACAAAAAAAAAAACCGATAAGTATATTTCATTTTAATTTTATACCCCACGATAAGCTGACGGACGAGGCGATATTTTTTTCCTTTTTTTAATATTTCCCATATGATCCCTTTAATAGCTACCAAACTTTATCCCACTTACAGTGAGCAAATAAAACCGCATAAAATATTGACTAATATATTCAAAACAAGCTGATTACCTCCTGTTGATTAATTTTTCTCATGCTTTCAAATGTCGAAAGAAATTAATAATGCTTTGAAGGACATAAATTCAAATGATAAATATAACAGAATAAAAATGAAGGGTGGTCTGACACGTATGAAATTCTAAAGTCTTTCTTTTCTGAAAAAAAAAAATAATGATAATAATAATGTATATATGCAACTTAAGAGAAGAGAGAAAGCGACGCCGCTAGTTTCCATTTTAAAGCTGAAAAATCCTAGCATATAGTTTGTTTTTTGGTAACAAAACAACCAAACAACAGTAGTCCAAACAAATGCAGCTGAAAATGGAAGTGTTCTCTTCAGAGTATTAATAAGAAAACGAGCTACGCAGACGACAAAAACAGGCAAGTGGTAAGATTTAAAGTAAATCACCCAGAATAATCCGTATATGAACTTTGTTATTTAAATTCTTTTTTACTTTTGTATTTCACTTAGACATTTTTTTTTCTTTCTCTGTTTTACAATTTTTCTTTTTTCTTAAGATGTTACACGGGACGATTTGCAACGACGATTTTTAGCTCAACACAGCTTTGCAATGCCGGGACAATGTTGTAACCATTCGAAACATAGTCGCAACAATGTTGCAATTAACGCTGTGTTGGGCTGAAAACTACTGAAATATTTTTTGGCCAGTATCAATATTAACAAGCACTGGACATAACGGTGAGTCTTATCAGTGGGTAGCCATAAATAATTAAACGGCAATGTTATTAGCATCAAAAGTGGGCTTGGCATGTGTGAGGAGCCTACCGGGAAAACAAGTTGTCCCATCAAATTTGCAGACCCCATCTAAAAGACGCAAACGGTACAATTTGATTCTTTAAAAACTAAATTGTTTTTCACTTCTATAATTTTGAAAGCGTTAGACATGACTGAAAAAAAAGGGTTTTAAAACTATGTATCGAAAACGGCTAATTTTAGGCATTATCAAACGTGAACGTACGGTCAGTAAAGGGGATTTGAAATAGTGGGACCATCGAATTTGAGTAGGAACCTTAATCAACAATCTGTAAATGAAGTACTCGCTCATACTCGCCTTTTTATTGAATCAGAATGAGCATCGACTCGACTCTCTATAACTAATAAGGAGATCCCGCAGCAAGAACTATCACCAGCTGAGTCTTCTAGTCTGCATTACTTGATACACCGCATGCATGTACATTTACCCTTTAATGATATTTTCCCCTTGATAATACCCTTTAATGATATTTTCCCCTTGATAATTAATATGTTTCAAGGCTTAATCGAAGTCTAACTTATTAACATTTTTCTTTTAAAGGCTGTTAAATCATGACGGCGTTAAATGAAATCTTCTGCATGTCTGTTATGTTTGTTTTGGGGCAAGTGACTGCGCAGCTGTTAATGCGCAATGCTCAAGTAGTGGATACGAGATATCTTTTTTTTTTTTTCAAAGCTTTATTGGGTGCTCCTCTAGTAATGTACACTATAAATTTGTAATACAGCACACACACACACACACAAAAAGAAAAAAAAAAAAGAAGCAAAAAAACCCAAAAGGGGTAGGTGCAACGAGACTAACGTCCCATGCGAGGCACCGCCCCTAGATTAAGACCCGGGTTAAAAAAAAAAAAATGAGTACACGAACATTCGTACAAAAAATAAAATAAATTACGAGTGGCATGGGCACGTAGGGACTAGTGTCCACGTGCAGGGTTAATTGATTTCATATACCCGCGAAAGGTGAGTGCTCATTAATTTGCGAACAAAAGGTTGAAAGGCAGTAGGCGAGGAAAAACTGGTTGGGGGTGCTAGCTTACAAACATAGTTCCATAGTTTAACAATACGGTTAAAGTACGAGGCCTGAAAGGATGATGTTTTGCAAAAAGGGGTGCGAAGATTAAAGGAGTTACTTAGTCTTGTACGATCATGGGAAAAAAAAGATACATAATTCCGAACATCTAAATCGGTACTACAGTAAAGGCATTTATAAAAAAAGATCAAATCTTTGAGTTCACGATCTAGAGAAAGTGGAAGTGAGTCTAGCAAAATCAGCCGCTCTTTGTACGACGACTCGTCTTTGCGCGTGCGTAAAATCCACCTGCTTGCACGTCTCTGCACCTGTTCCACCTTAGCATTCAGAGTAATGTAAGCGGGCGACCAGACTTGGGTGGCGTAACAAAGCTGTAACTTGACCAAAGACAAATAGAGAGAGCGCCTAACAGAGACGCTAGAAAGCAGGGGACAAGTCCGTTTAAGCAAACCAAGAAGCTTGTTTGCTTTCGCAGTGATAGTGTGGATGTGTGAGTCCCAAGAGAGCGTACTAGTTATGATGACCCTAAGATCTTTTTCTTCTGAAACGCTTGTCAGGGCTGTGCCATCAAGGGTGTAGTCAAAAGCAATCGGAGTCTTTTTCCTAGTCACAGTTAGTACTTTACATTTAGACGTATTAAATCTAATATTATTGCGCTGCGACCAGACGTGCGTATTAGAGAGAGTGTTTTGTATGAGGTCACAGTGTTCTGCACACGAGACATTTCGGTATAGCTTGGTGCCGTCGGCGTAGAGTGGAACCTTCACGCGGTAAGCAGCTTTGTCCGGCAGATCATTTATGAACAAAGTGAACAACAGGGGGCCTAAAATGCTCCCCTGCGGAACGCCAGAGGTTACAGGAGACCAATCAGAAGCTGCATTCTCAAGCACCACCCTTTGTGTACGCTCAGTTAGGTATAGTCCTTGAACCAGCAGAACAGTTGACCTTTTACACCGTTAAGCCTCAGCTTTGCCAGAAGAGCGCTGTTATCGACAGTGTCAAAGGCCTTAGCAAAGTCCGGGTAAATCATATCTGACTGAATGTTATTATCCAATGACTGACTGACTGTGTGTAGGACTGACAACAGCTGAGTTACACAAGAACGATTTGGGAGGAATCCATGCTGCAGTACACTTATGATCGTAAAATCGATGGCCACGCAGCGCTCCAGAACTTTGCTAACAATTGGGAGTAAGGATATAGGGCGATAATTTTTTGCATCCTCTTTAGAATCTTTTTTGTGGATTGGTGTAACATCTGCGGATTTCCATTCACGAAGAATTTGACCTATGCTTAGAGAGTGATTAAAAAGGGAATACAAGCTGGGTGCTATTTGCTCGCTGCACTCCTTCAGCAGGCGAGCTGGAATTTTGTCTGGACCACATGCTTTTGTTGTGTCCAGTTCACTCAAGCGTTCCATTACTTCATCCACCGTCACCTCAATTTGCGAAATTTCCATATCAGTGATAGAAGAGCTGGTAATATATTCACTGTTATTGAGGCCATAAGTTGTTAGGAGAAAGACAGAGCAGAAATATTTATTAAAAAGTTCAGTTTTTCCTACAGGGGTTTCAGCCACCTCGTGGTTGTATTAGATCGTCAAGTTAGCGCTAGACCGCCCGCCCAGAAAAGCTTTATGATAGCTCCAGAAATTTTTAGGATTATCTTTAAAGGATGCCTCGATTTTCGTCAAGTATCGTTGGTGTTTAGTTCTTACCAAGGTCTTGACATTCTGGCTTAAAATACGGAGTTTTCGCTTGCGTTCAGGAGTTTTATTCAGGCGGAATTTTTTCAGGGCAGTATATTTTTTGCGAATCCAATGGCGCACTTCGCTGTCAATCCAAGGCGGAGAGTTGGTGTTGCGAACTGTTTTGATCGGCATGTGATCTTTTACGGCGGATAGGAACAGGGCCTTCCAGTTATCCCAAAATTCGTTGATGTCAGCTGACGCAGCAATCTCGAAGGGAACTCTAGAGAGAGAGTCCCTGAGATCATCAAAGTTCCCGTTCTTGAAATCGTAAACTTGCCGCTTGACTCCCATAGCCCTTTTAAACTTCAGCTTTATCATGAATTCAACAGCATAGTGATCGGAAGGAAATAAACCCTCCCGCGGATGAAATGTTGAAACATAGTCAATGATCTCTGGCCAGTTAGTTAACAGCAAATCGAGCTTGTTACCCACAATGTGCGTAGGACCAGTAATAAACTGCTGAAAGAAATTATTGGCCATGAGCTCGCAGAATATATTATGATCTGTTCGACATACCGGTATTTGTCGGAGCCGACTGATCGCCAGACCAGTCCAGTTCTGGTAAATTAAAATCGCCAATAGCTACCAGGCAAGTGGACTCGTTGTTCTCACAAAGCGACATATTTAACTCCAATAATGGCTCAGGCGAATCGTCAGGATGATAGAAGCAGTAGAGCAATAAAGGCTTGTATGTCCGTTTCTAAGTTCCACCACAACCAGCTCAATTCCTAACCTTTCCAGGTCGGTACGTCTAGAAGCGTGTATAGTATTCTTAACAGCAATCAAAACCCTACCTCCACGGCCGTCTCTGTCTCGGCGAAAAATGTTATAGCCAGGGAGAATTTCGCCGTCTAGAACGGTAGGATTAAGCCATGTCTCGCAGAGTGAGATAACATCAAAGTCCTCTCCGTAAAAAAGCTGCTGTAAAAGAGAAATTTTGCATATCTTGCTTGCACAATCGTGAGGGGAATGAGCCGGATGTTAAAAGGACACATCTACAAGACGATAGAGGCAAATTTCCCACTAGGCTGCTTATTTGCTTGCAGAGAAGATAATCGATGGCAAAGTTTCAATTAGGTGATCTCTCTCCACTTATGCGTGTTTAATAACAGAACAAAGGAACCCAGACCTGAGGATTTCGTTTCAAACCCAGACAGATTTAACTTTATTTAGACGATACAGAAACAGAGGTAAAAAGGTGTTTTCGAGAATACTTCCCAAGAAACTGTGACTGAGAACTTATTGAAACATTTGAAAACGTTTAGAGACCTGTTCAGGAGCTGTGGCTGTTGTAAATTCACTTTAAGTAATACGTTTCAGCAGCCTAGTCCCTGGGCGTTCTCTCTTGATCCGTTGTCCGCACGAAGTCTCTCTTGGTGACATCACAGCTCATGGTAGAGCACAGGAATGACCGAGCCGAAAACACCTGGGCACAGGGCTGACGTTACAGTATTGAGGCCATGAGGATTTTAAGATCGCCCCGTGTACGGGAATCCGGATTCCGGAATCCGGGAAATTTCTGATTGTGGAATCCGGAATCCGACAGTATTTTGAACAACAAGAAAATCAAACGCGCTAGTATTTGGCTACTCTCTTTTTATCGAAAAATAAGGATTGAACAATGGTAATTCGCTAAGGATGACGGAACAGGAAGATAATTCGTCTTGTTACTTTACGATCGAGGAAACTTGGAGCCGTTACATAAGTTACTTTGATCACGCTTCACTATATTTACCGGACTTCGATACTTCCGTTTGGAGGCTGCCTTCAGGAGCCCATGCCAATTCTCAGGTATGTTTTAGATAAATGTCTAAATGTGTGAATAAACGCGGACTGGGAAAATTTGGAGCTATACCACATGAAGAATAATGCCGCAGAAAATAACTACTAAACTAAAGTTTTTGTCACCGTAAAAACCTGTTCTTCGTTTTTGAATTATGTCAGTTCAACGAGTCTCGATATTGCTTTGGAAGTATCTTCTAGTGAGAGAAGAAGTCAGAGTTGTTCTATTGATGGAAAGTGTCCAAATTTCTCCTTGCCGCTTTATTTGCGAACGCAAGTAGCCTGCGTAGCATAGCGGTTTTGGTTGCTAAGTAATAAAGGCGGGCGAGGGCAGAAAAACCGCGAGGAGATTGGGGCTGGAGTCTCCAAATGGCCGTATTTTCAACCCGAAATTTCCTAACATCAACTCTCCTCGCGTTTGCAAATAAAGCCGCAAGGAGAAATTTGAAATTTGGACACTTTCCGTCAACAGCACAACTCTTCTTCTTTCACTAGAAGATACTTTCAAAGCAATATCGAAACTCGTTGAACTGACATAATTCAAAAACGAAGAACAGGTTTTTAGGGTGACAAAAACTTTAATTTAGTAGTTGTTTTCTGCGGAATTCTTCATGTGGTATTGCAGGCTGGTATGGCTCCAAATTTTCCCAGTCCTCGTTTATTCACACATTTAGACATTCATCTTATGATCTAAAACATACCTAGTGAGAACTGGCTTGGGTTTCTCATGGCAGCCTCCAAACGAAAGCATCGAAGTCCGGCCAAATTAATATAGTGAAGCGTGAGCAAAATAAATTTAACGGCTCCAATTTTCCTCAATCGAAAAGTAACAAGACGAAATATATTCCTGTTCCGTCATCCTTTGCGAATTACCATTGTTCAGTCCTTACTTTTCGGTAAAACGTGAGTACCAGAAATCTAGCGCGTTTGATTTTTTTCTTCTTCAAAATACTATTGGCATTGAAAATGTTACTCTTTCAAGAAATGCGTTGCGTTACTACCGTGATTCCGCGACTGTCATTTTGACGGCTCCATGTCTTCAAACGTACGTCGTGTCACATGCAGTCACGGAACAGATTGTCACGCAGAGTTGCCTGCTTGTAGAGTTCAGTGTTTAAAATTGGCTAAAATTGACCCAGTTTCACCTTTTTACCCCACTCCTTGATTGAAAAAAGCAACTTTGCAATGGGAAAACCTACATAAAGTACGAAAAAAGAGCATTTAGGCTGTAAATATGTACTTAGAGCGTTTCGAAACTGGAAGTGTTTACACAATTACCTCCGGCATAACATGAAAATTCGTGAACTTCGATGGTGTCTTACAGAGATTTCATTTCCTTCTGTAACCCAAGCCAGTTCCCAGGTATGTTGTAAATGAATGTCTAAATGTGTGATTTAAATAGTATTAAGAGAATTTGGAGTTATACCACATGTTAAATATTGCCGTCGAAAATGAGTAACGAACGTGATGAGTAGCGAATCTCTCATTTTTGAATTATTTCAGTACGACGAGCTTCGCTATTGCCCTGAGAGTATCTTCTAGTGGAAGAAAACGAATTTTACTGTTTATGGAAAGTGTCCAAATTTCTCCACGCGGCTTCGTTTGCGAACGCGAGGAAAGTTGATGTTCGCGAATTTCAGGTTAAAAATTAGGGCAGTCTGAGACTCCGACATCGAAAGCCGATCTTCTAATTTTTCTTTCGGCAGGAACAATCTATATTAGGTTTCTTATTTACTTAAAAGCTGTCGATGAACAAAAAATGAAAGAAATTGATTTTTCAACTCTTGCCCCGCAATTAAGATTTTGGTCGATCATTTTCCTGACCGTCGCTCCGAGACGACACGTATCAATGACATCAATGTATAGCTACGATGCAGAAAGGGTCTAATTAGATCTTTCTGTACCCTGCGAGCGGAGGTTTCTCTCTTGCATGGCTTTTGGCGTTTACGAAGTCATTTGCGTGTCTTGTATGTCGCGTAGTTGGTTTGTTTACACCCTGTGAGACGGAAACAAACCAACTACGCGACATACAAGACACGCGAATGACCTCGTAAACGCTAAAAGCCATGCAGGAGAGAAACCTCTGCTCGCAGGGTAATCTTTCTGCGGCTATGCTTTAGGAATAACTTGGAAGCAATGCATGTTTTAAGCATCGCGTTTTAAAAAACGTTAAGTCCTAATTAACAAAGCCTCTACTAAAATTAAACGTTTTTATTCATATGACAATATAAATATATTCAGGTTATGCAATAAGGAACTTCTAAGTCTGGTGATGTTAATGGCGTTTCATTTCCGCCAAAATTCAACGCTCCATTTTACATTGTACTTTGCATAATCTATCCTACATTTTGTGTTTGTCATTTAATTTTGCACTCACGATTGTATGGCGTTTCATTTCCGCCAAAATTCAACGTTCCATTTTACATTGTACTTTGCATAATCTATCCTACATTTTGAGTTTGTCATTTAATTTTGAACTTGCGATTCAACTTTTTTGCATTCAACATTCAACTTTGATTTATGCAACATTCGACATTCAGCTTTTCATAAGCAGCAGTCAAGTTTTCGAATTCGACCTTCAAGTTCAGTGGGATGTACATTCACTTTTTCGCATCCAACATTTAGCATTTGTCCTTTAAGATTTCTCTTCCCACATCCGACTTTGGGCATTGTCAGGGGGGGCTGGCAGCGAGTTCTGGAACGGAGTTTACATGATCGCCCCAGTTAAGAAATTTGGCCGAGTGAGACTGAGTACCAATTTTTCTTCACAACAAATATGGCGGAGAATACAGACATGGAAGGACGATGAGTTTTTGCTCGGTTTTACGTTTTCCAGCATCCAAACATCAATTAATGGAAGTTTTGGACATAAGGAGGCATGATGTATGAACAGTTCAAGGGTGACTTCACTTTTCGTGATTCGGCATCCCGGCAAGTTCAGTTATGTTTAAGCTCCGTGAAATTTACGAGCGACTAGCCTGCTCCATCTCTTACATTTTTCCACTTACAGCGGTATTAAGACTCTCTTCCTTATCCTAAACATGTGCTGCGAGCACACTGCATTAGTATGAGTCTTGCAACAGTCATGTGTGAATGTTCATTAAACCAATTTTCTAGTTCGCTGTTCGTAAGTTTGTTTGTACAGTGGGAGCCACAACAGATTCTTAAGAGCTTAAATACAGAATAAGGGCCAATTTAGTAAAAGCGAGGGTAAATGTTCCACTCACTTTGCTTCACATATACAGGGTCTGTCAGTATAAGCTATTTTTAATACCAGAAGGCTGGGAGGGGTTTACTAAACCTTCAAAACCTTCACTGGAACATCATTGGAGTGATAATCAATAACTATTTCCAAGAGCAATACTGTATTTAGTAGTTTTATGATAGATAGTGACTTCAGTTTCGAGTATTTCCTTGAAATTGTTTGTACAAAAATTACCCTGTAGTTCTGAATTTTACTTGAAATGATTGTAATGGTTTAGTGTGGGGACAAGAGGCTTATATCCAGTTGCCAATAAGAGTGAGTACATCAGACAGGTGTATGCATTGAGAAAATCCCTCAAAGGACTGAAGTATAAGAATCGGAAAAAAGAAAATTGAATGTTTTGCAAAATTTATAAAGAGAATCGGAGGGAGCTTGAAAAATGTACAACTTCAATTGTTTGTTTAAGTTATGAATTTGATTTACAACAAAAACAAACAAGGCAAAATTGAATTTTTATCAACCATCAAAAGGAGTTATTGTCCCGTGACCATTTCACCCATTAGAGTTTTGAACAGGTGTTTGGGCTGTGAAGGTTGATGAAGAGCAGTCTATAGTTACATTTTTTGTACCACCATTTTTGTCGCCAAGTGTTTTCCATGTTTCTAAGTTTAAAAGCTAACTGAATTATGTATGCTAAATGAAATAAATCAGGATTATAAAATAAAGTCTCTTCGCTTAAAAAGGGGAAGGGAAATGAACAATGTGCCCTACTACCCATACTCTCTTTCAGTGAAAACCCGGAAAGGTGATCTTACATTTTAATACCCTTTACCACCTGTTGTAACAACAAAGTCAGCGAAGGTTTATGGTCTCTGAGAAATGTTTTTGCCTGCCTCAACACAAGCTTCTAACTGTTATTGTTGACTACAAATAATATTATCTTAATATCATTTTACATTTTTTTGCAAGGCATCCTATGGTGTTTTTCATATCCACTAGTACAAGGCAATTTTTAAGTTGAGAGGGTTTAATTTCATAAACTACATTTTTATACAGAAACAAACTAACCTGGCACGTTGATGTCCAAAGATGTAACAAAATTACGTGCAACTGTATGGTAAAAACTGATCACAGTGGCCAAAGGAAAGGCAAAAATAGAAACGTCACCATTTTCCTGATTTTATAAATTTCCTTTGAAGCATATTTAGCCAGATGTGGTCCTTGTCAAAACATGCAAACTTGAACATTTATTTTCTGATCTTAGCTAATCTTTTTTAAACCACAATCTTGTTCCAAGGGGTAAATGTAATTTTTGGAATACACACTTGAATGTGGACTCAAACTGAAGGCACTGTAATAACTGCTGTCATGAAAAGAGAATTCCAAACACACAAAATAATTACCCTTTCATTTGCCTAAGCTTCATTTGTTGGAAACAACCGCAAATTTTAAATTAAATTACACGAAGATAAGAACTTAAGCATATCAAAAAGTGCAAAATCAATAGAGAAATATGATCTATCAAGGCAAAATTTATTTAGCTTCTAGTACATAAATATATGAATTAGTTACGAGATTTGACCATGCCACTCAATCATCCAACGCAACTCCGCCAGGATAAGTTCACAATCAAGGATGAAGAATTAAGACTCTCTCAATCATCATTTCTTGACATTTTAAAGGTGTAGTAAAATCGTAAACAACTCTGACAACTCTTCTACTCGACCACAGCCACCGCACTTTTTAAATCTTACGAAAAATTAATTTTGGTCCTTTCACTTGAAAATATGAACTCTTCTACATACGTATTGGAGGGTTGGCCCTTCTTTTAGTCTTGTGGGTCTTCTAAAGAGAAACACAGCTTGAGAGTCCATATCTGGAGAGGTGAAGTGAGTCAAAAGTCGCGCATCGAGGAACAATGTCAGTTTACGATCAATGTTCACTGGTCTCGTTCTTAGCGTAGTAAACCGCATGTAATGACAAACGCAAGACCAGACGAAAGGAAAACGTAAGCTCCACATTACTGCGGACAAAGATTGGTTACAGCAAAGAAAGCAATGACCACCGGGACTAAAAGCGAATTCACTTCACACTGTCGAATCGCTGCGAAGACGAACTTCTTACTGTTTTTGTTTCAAGCCCGTTTCGCGCATGCTCGCTACAATTCTCGCATGATGGACAGATTTCTTAACTGGGGCGATCATGGAAAGCCGAAAAGCGGCAAGATCAAAGGCCGTTGCCAGCCCCCCCTGGGCATTGTATTTGCAAGTTTCCGTATTCGACATTCAACTTTTCGAATTGAACTTTTACCCGCTGGTCAGCGACCGATGGAGATCGAGGGCTCAATTGACCTAACCCACCTCTGCTCAAAGGGTGGTCGAGAGTCGGTCGAGAGACTTTCCAGTGGAGTGGACTCGGGAGACCTTCTCCACCGTGTGATAAAAGCCGCCGATCGCCAAGATGCTGCTGCACCTGCTGATTAAAGCGAGGTGAGAGCCCCTCTTTTGAGGGTAGCGGACTGTCTGTCTACTTTGGAGGAAACACTGTCTCCAAGTAAGTATCGGGCAACCCTTGTCAAGTATGAAGAAGTTATGTGTTCAATAAAGTTCGTGTTGGCGCCGACACAAGCATATATGTACGGATAATGGCTCAGTCAATTCCAAGCGTGCTCACCCCCGTCCCCCGGGTATTTGTCGGGCATTTGTCATCTTGTCGGTCCCGGCCGTGGGGATTTGTCAGAAAACCTCTTCCCGGGGGTGGGGCATTTGTCAATTCTTCTAGAAGAGGTTAACGTCGTTCCTCTTTCAACATCCAGATACTTTAGATATTTCTATAAATAAAAAGATATGTATGGTTTTCCGGCTCCATCACTTCCCTACCTAGGCTACGAGTAGTCCCCATTTTTCTTCAGGGATAGTAGAGCGAGCGAAACGCGAGCGGGCGTGAAAATTACCCCACTCGAGAAAGGCCTTTCTCCAATCTCGACTCAGAGCTCTTCTGCGCATGTAGAGGAGAGAGATCAAGAGCTCTGGGGAACCCTGGAGCAGGATTGTCTCTGATTTGTTTCAGCAAAAACACAATTAAAGTGTCTCTGATTGGTCCATTCAAGTTTGCACAAGAGCGGTTGATCGTCCTGCTCTGAAGCCAGAGCACGACCGGCCGACTCTTGATTTTGGCGATTCGAAAACAACATTTGCACGACTAATGAGGCAGAATTACTGGATTTTCTAATTTTCAAATAAAATAGCTTAGCTACATATCGAAAATTGAACCAGAAAATAAAATTGAAATACCCCGGCATCTTTGCCAACGATAATTTAAGAAGCAAGACACATTACTGTTTTTTATTTGCCTTCCACGTGCTCGTATTCACACGAAGTAGCCGAGTATGAATGAAAACTTGAGCTTCTTGTCGTAAATTGCCCAAAAACAGAATTGCAAGAAAACAGAAAAACAAAAAAGCAAATCGTTCCCTAAAGTGATGCGTGTACAATGCGACTAGATATTAAACAATTATTGGATGAGATTGAGCATGATAGCATGAATTATCAAAACCGAGGTCTGTGTCATCGGCTGAGGCAGATAATACAGACACGAGGTTTTGATAATTCATGATAACATGCGAAAACCGAATTCAATAATTGTTTTATTATACATTTTTTAAACAATGGGCAAAAGAAGACATTCAGCCATTCTGTTTCTGAGGAGAACACTCCAAGGCGCTTGGTAACCAGGCAGACGTTGAACTTGACATGATAAATGCAATATCTGCAGCAGATATTGCATTTATCATGTCAAGCTCACAAGCTATTGTGAATTGATTGAATGCTCTCGACCAATCAGATTTTTCATAGTGAGTCTGATGTATAATAATTATAGTTGTCCTCTTTTCCCACGATATTGCATTTCAAAGCAGCTTTGCTGAAGTATTAATGTTCATGAACAAACATAAATAAAAGGACGCTAAATTCATATTTCGGAAAGTTTTATTGGAATTTCGATATGTTTATCTTGACAAGCCGTTCGGGTTTCACCACAGGTAACCCAGGCTCTGTGATAGTACCACAGTACTCGTTTCAGTAAAATTACAGTGTTTGTATGGGGTAAAAATACGATCCAAAAATTTGTAGGAAATACTAAATAAAAGTCAATGAAACATACCCTACAGTTAGTTGTTGTTGTCCTTATTACTCCAACGAAGCTTCGTGATAATTTGTTCAAATTCACTCTATATGCAATAATAATATACATGGTAGGAGACGAGATGCCATCTTCGCCGCCATGCTCTCATTCAACACAACTTTTTCCACGAAATTCGAAATCCAACAGAAAATAAACATGCCAGGATCGTAGTAATAGGATGGCATCAGATATAGAAACCAATGAAGCTTTCCCAGATAGAAAAACGAATCCCGCAGACTTTGACAAACTCGAAGGATGTAATCCAAAAAGGCCGAGAATATGCTGGCCAAACTAGCCGGGCCAGATCAACGCGCGGCCAAGAAAATGAGGCCTGGGCACTGTACCAAAAAAATCCATCCCGGGTGTCCTGGGTTGACCTTTCTAGGGACCGATACATAGCTTTACTAAAGTTAGTCACCCCTGCTGGAAATACATTTCCCCCAGGGCTATTGTTCACTTGAGACAAACGCGACTCGCCCAAGCGAACTACATTCCAGTGCACGCGTCAAAATGAGAAAAAAGGGAAACATGTAAAAGGTGATGTTTGCATTTTACAATTTTTTTAACCCTCGGAAAATTCCAATTTTCAAAGCGCAAAAGCTTAATTGACCACGACGACAGCGACAACATTAACAACAAACACCAATTTTATAGATTAGCAAAACATGCGCTGGGAATGTGCATCACACTATCACACTTAACTTGATTGTTTATTTAAAAAAAGCGTGATACACGTGCTTTTTTTCTCATTTTCACGCGTGCACTGGAACATGTAGTTTGCTTGGGCGAGTCGCGTTTGTCTCAAGTAAACAATAGCCCTGGAGCAAATGTATTTCCAGCAGGGGTAGCTAACTTTGGTATAAAAGCTATGTATCGGTCCCTAGAAAGGTCAACCCAGGACACCCGGGATGGATTTTTTTTGGTACAGTGCCCAGGCCTCATTTTCTTGGCCGTGCGTTGATCTGGCCCGGCTAGTTCGGCCAGCATATTCTCGGCCTTTTTGGATTACATCCTTCGAGTTTGTCAAAGTCTGCGGGATTCTTTTTTCTATCTGGGAAAGCTTCATTGGTTTTAATATCTGCTGCTATCCTATTACTACGATCCTGGCATGTTTATTTTCTGTTGGAGTTCGAATTTCGTGGAAAAAGGTTGTGTTGAATGAGAGCATGGCGGCGAAGATGGCATCTCTTGTCTCCCACCTTGTATATTATTATTGTATATAGAGTGAATTTGAACAAATTATCACGAAACTTCGTTGGAGTAATAAGGACAACACCAACTGACTGCAGGGTAAGTTTCATTGACTTTTCTTTAGTATTTCCTTCAAATTTTAAGATCATATTTTTACCCCTTACAAACACTGTAATTTTACTGGAACCTTACTGTGGTACTATCACAGTGCCTGGGTTACCTGTAGTTTCACTTACCACCTCGTGAAGTAGTCCACAGAAATATTTAATCAACTGTCAAGGTCGTCAAGCATATGCAAACTTCAAGTCTCAAGTCTGTGATTGGGAACGTTTAACGGTATTTTCTCAGCAACTACCACAAGAGCCTTGGATACCTGAAAATTCTTCAAGGCCGTTTACTGAATTTCTTCAGTTCTAATAGCTAAGCAGTACAAGACGTTCGCGATGAAGTAGATATAACAGAAGCAACAAGTTTTGGTTGGATCAAAGAGCATGCGTTCTGAGGCCCAAATAGCCATATTTTGGCTACTCCGGCGCAGAGTTTCCCAGACCTTACGCGCATTCCCAAACCCGTAAGCATTGGGGTCGAGAATGGCGTCGGGTGATTTTCACGCGCGCTCGCATTTCGTCCGCTCTACTACCCCTGAGGAAAAATGGGGACTACTCGTAGTCCATTCCCTACCCCACAGTATGTTTTGCATCTGTTCCGCCATCATATGGATGAAAAACAATCAATGTATCGTTTAAAGAGTTTAAGGGAAAGACACTTCCTTTGTCCCGTGAATGTTTGAGGCGGAAATGCCTAGAAAAACTCTGTGATTATACAAAAGTTGATATAAACTTTGTGTATTGTACGATCAATGCGACAATACGTTGACGTGGTGTTGCCCACTGCTGCAATCAAAAATCGGTCTGCACAAAACCCCACAGGCGGCCCAAGCTCTAGCCTCCCACGCAGACGTTAAGGGGATGGGGCAGTCACATTCGTCAAGCGTTCCTCCCGAATTAATCCCCCTTAGGACGTCTGCGTGGGAGGCTACCCAAGCTCTCGCCATACAAGTGATTTCAGAAAAAAAATATCCAGCACTGAAAAAAACATATCTCTTGTGGCATGTAATGCTGCAGAAAAATATGTTACCCGTTATATGCCAGAGAAATATATTCTAACTCTACTGGCCGGGAGTAAATCACCCGTAAAACTCTCCTCAAAAGTCAATTGGTCGACCCCTAATCATTAAAATTGCACAATCCTTGATTTGTATCGGAATTCAGGTTAAATATTTAGGAGATTTGTACAGGTAATCACATGATTTCGAGTGCAATTTGGAATAAATAAGCACAAGTAAATTTTTTCAAAGGCTAACAAAATTGCACGAGCCCGTAGGGCGAGTGCAATTTGTGGTCTTTGAAAAAATTTACGAGTGCTTATTTATTCCAAATTGCACGAGAAAAATCATGTGATTACTTATTAATAATATTCGTGAAAAAAATGCGAGATAGCTTTAAAATCACGTAAACCACGTGCAAAAATAATTTATTCAAGTGCTGCAAATATCATCACACGTGCAGTCAAAACAACATTTTTCTCGACGTTTTTAAAGTTTACAAGCCGCAGAAACGGGCTAAACAGTTAGTGGAATCGTTCAATCTGTATCGTAGTCACTTACGATGAAACGCAATCGCCGTTTGCAAGGGCAAATGGTAGGCGAAGTCTTGTTGTTGAGGTTGAATGTTACATTGCAGTTGGTGAAGGAATTCATTACATTCTGCGCTTGTGAACTCATCTTATGAGAAATTACTGCACTTGAAGTAGGACCAGGTGTATTACCCGCTGGCTTCGGTGTGCTGTTCTTTCGTGAGATGGCCCACGAAAGCTGTCGCTGTTCATCTTCGTCTGCTTCATCATAGTCATCTAAAGACTGGATATTTCTGTGACCAGTGACTTTTGCAATTGCCGACCTTTCGAGATTCGCCTTTTTCATTTTGCTGACTACTGTTTTACGGGCACTGTGATTGGAAAACCGCTTCTCAGATGTCTCAATGCTGGTTCCGGAGATGATGCTCTTCATCATGGAGTTGATTTTATTTTCTCCCATGGGCTGTACCTTGTACCAAATTTCGTCGTCGGCTCGTCTGTTGTACTTTATCGAGAGATAAAATGGACCACTCGTCCTCAGATTGGGAGGTCTACGGCTAATGTACTGACGAAATAAAGCAACTGGACATTTTCCTTCCCCGGTCTGAAACATTTTGGGCTGGAACTGTCTTGGCTTTGCACTCAAACCTCCAGGTCTTGTTTTCGTAGGCCCCTCTGCAAACTCAACAAATTCGATGCCGTCGTCACCGTTCATGATTCTGAAATCCTCCAGTCTCATTCCGTGGTGTTCTTGCCTTCCACGAAGACCAAAGTGTTGGGTAAGGAGCCACCACATTGTTTGAATAAAGATTCTTGGTTATTACCTCCGAGTTTTTCGCTCTTCCAGAGAATTTCTTCTTCCTCCTCTGATACTTGTCGAGCTTTGTTTGGGCGCTTACCACGGCCAGCCAAGCGAAGCTGTTTCGCTTTGCCTTCCAACACCTGTTTGGACGAACTAAATTCTCGGTCACGTACAATGGACAAGGTGTAGCCTTTGTTCTTTAAGTGTCTGTCAAGCGATGCCATCATTACTTTGAGGCTTTCTGGTTCATAATCTTCACCTTCTCTATTTTTTACTTCGACGTAGAAATGCTCGAGCAAAGTGTTAAGCTCAGCCGGCTCATAATTTTCTATTTCATCTGTAATATTCTTCTCTAAGCACCACTTCTTCCAAACAGAGAGCCAAAAATCGGTGCTTTTTGCAGTGTTTTCGTTTTTGGAGCAGTTTTTCATGTCCTCTATAGTTGTTGCGGTCGGAAAAGCAAATCTGCTACAAATGCCAGCCATTGCGGTTTTTGCTCGAAACTGGTCAAGAGCGGATCCAAATTTTGCGCCATTCAGATGGCGCACTTGATTGGCTCTCAGTGAGTTCCTTTGTTTACTAACCAATCAGAATGCCTCGTTTGTTACCTCTTTTCTGCACTAAATTACCTTTTTTCTGCACTCAATTACCTTTTTTCTGCACTGTGTTACCAAAAAACTGCATTTCTCTTAGCCAATCACAATCGAGAATTTTTTCATGTATATTATTATTCATGAAATACACCTTTCCACTAAAGAGGGAAATTTCATATATCCCATGATGCTTCGCGGCTAATTTCTGTCTTCTCTCCGCGGTGGAAAGAGCGTTCGAGAGTTTCGAGGGAGATTTTTAACGACCAGAATTTCAAGATGCAGCTCATCCAAGGTAAGTTTCAATGAGCCCTGTTAATCGTTGGCATCTGATTGATAATGTAAAATGTTTCCAAGGTCATTTCACACATTATTGCTCTCGATTACGACCCTGTTAAGCCATGCTGTTTTAACTCGTAAGTGAATATCCATTTAGATGACTTTCAATTTTCGAAAACTGTCTTTATTCTAGAAAGGTTTTACCCTAATAAATTATTTAAATCGGCGGGCAAGGGGTGCTTGATACTAGTTCCACGCTCCGACCTCTTTCGACCTCTTTCGACCCCCCCTTTCTTCCCACTAAAGAAGACAGTCGGTTGGACAGTACTCACCTCCCTCGAAGACTGTGCAGCGGCATCCAGGCGATCGGCGATGTTCTAACGTCGACGTTTGGTTTGTCGGGAGTGGAGAAGGTCTCCCGAGTCCACTCCACTGGAAAGTCTCTCGACCGACTCTCGACCACCATTTGAGCGGGGGTGGGTTAGGTCAATTGAACCCACGATCTCCATCGGTCGCTGACCAGCGGGTAAAAGTTCAATTCGAAAAGTTGAATGTCGAATACGGAAACTTGCAAGTACAATGCCCAAAGTCGGATGTGGGAAGCGAAAACTTGAAGGACAAATGCTAAATGTTGGATGCGAAAAAGTGAATGTACATTCCACTGAACTTGAAGGTCGAATTCGAAAACTTGACTGCTGCTTATCAAAAGTTGAATGTCGAAAGCGAAAACTTGAATGATTGAATGTTGCATAAATCAAAGTTGAATGCAAAAAAGTTGAATCGCGAGTGCAAACTCAAATGACAAACACAAAATGTAGGACAGATTATGCAAAGTACAATGTAAAATGGAACATTGAATTTTGGCGGAAATGGAACGCCATAGTTATGAATGTACTAGTAATAGTTGACACTACAGCTGCCCCGGCTCTGTATATTGTCGGTCAATAGTATTCTTGCTCGATGTGTAGCTCTTTGAAATATACAGATTCATAAGGAAGATTTTTACACATATTCCGTACAATAGGTGAGATAAATACAGGAAACGCAAGGTTCCATGCACAGTTTCAGGTCGATTTACACAGCTTTGATCAAAACATTCTCAGTTTCGAGAATAGTTTATTCTAAACCATAAGAAAAGATTTAATTAGAAGTTTAATTTTTCGCTATTTCTCTTTCACTTTTTACATTCAGTTCATTTTATTTGCCGGAAAGGAAGCCTTAGAAATTAAAAGGACGTTTGATCAATTCACACTCGCGCTTTCTAGTCTTATTTTAAACTTTATAGCAGAAGGACATTTGTGAGCAGGGAATAAGTCAGCACAGAATTTGATTGTCGGCGAATTTCTGTAATCGTCCATCGTTCTGCTAGTGAGAAGCTAGCCGTTGTTCACTCGTCTTGCTTGTTTGGGGCTTAGTCTTATTCCGGTCAAATAGAGAGAAAGAGTGTCTGGCAAGGTTTCCAATGAAAGATTTGTGAACTCGTGTCTGGCAAACTCTTTAAGTGTTTATATATACACATACGCACCTTATAACTTCCTCTGCGCTTAACGAGTGTCGTTAAAATTTTAGTCCATAACTTTCACTGAAACAACTGCTCCACAGAATGTCACTGATAACACGTAATGCAAAAGAGTCTCGAAGTATGAATGCACAATAAATGTCACAAAATCTGCCTAAGCGGTCCCTTGGGGATGTTCTGTCTTTACGTCGTCCTAACCATTTCGTACTTGCGGGCGCAAACAATAGAAACGTCATCATTGCCCACCGATTCCTCGCGGCCCTAGCCTCCCACGCAGGCGTTTTTAGGGGAGCTCGTTTTTCATCCCTCCCCACAAATGCCTGCTCAACCGAAGACAACATTCTTCTCCCAAGCTTAGCCAATCACATTGTACTTTCCAAATTCTAGAGAGTTGACCTTGACCGCAAGGTAATCTGATAATTACTCGATCTGCATGAAACACTGGGAAAGCTTTCTGACCTCTAATAAATGTTAGATTCAGAGCGGCAAAAATAAGAGTTAGTCACTTTTTAGAATACTCCATGCACTGCATAACCTTAGCGAAGGAAAGAAAAGAAAGAAAACGGTAACTCTAGGGTAACGTTTCAGTCGTGTTTAGCCTGTCAACACTTCATTGCACAACTGTTGATTCGTCACTTACCACGCAAATAAAACAATGGGAAAGGAATGTTGTTTTCGGTTGAGCAGGCGTTTGTGGGGAAGGATGAAAAACGAGCTCCCCTAAAAACGCATGCGTGGGAAGCTATCGCGGCCCCTGTTCAAGCAAATCGAGATCTTTTCTGTGACTGTATGACTGTATATTTCATCTGTAAGTACTTTCCTTAATATACGCGCGAGTTACTAGAGTGCCTCCTCGGGATTTCACCTTCTGGGCGAAATCCCTGCGGGGGCAATAAAAATAGGCCATTTCCGAGTTCCCCCGGGCCTCTGTATCAAAACGAGGTTCAGTGCTCAGCCTTTGATATGGAAATGATTTTTCATTCTCATTCAATTACAACTCATTCTCACAAGAAAAGTTGTGCACTTGGCCTCATTTTGAAAGTGAGGGTTTTTGGAACTCCGAAGTGGCCTATTGAAAGTTCCGTTTTAATCATGAAGTACTGTGCGACTCCCTAGTTAACTCAAGCAGTGAGGTAGAACAGTAAGAGGTGATACTTTGGAGACAATTTTGAGTTTTGTTATTAATTTTGGAGAAAACGGATTAATAGTCTCCACTATGGCTACTTTTTTTTTGTTTTTTCTGAAATCTGCTTCATTTTAAAAACAGACCGTCAATGCCACTTACTGACCCAAACGTGACCAAACGTATCTTCTGAAGCAGAACGAAAAAAGAGACCATTATCGATCTAAAAAAACGAATAGCGCCGGTCAGAATAGTTTAAATGCGATACAGAACCGTACAGTATTTTATATAAGTTCGTTAGTTTAAAGTAAATTAGCCGCCCCATACCCAATAAGATGTCAGTATAGAACGGGTCTGAGGCCCCGGTTGGAGGGGGGGGGGGGATCTTCCTTATATGGCCTATACGGGGATGTGCCGCTGGACAGGGTACGGTTTTCGTCCTCTCTGTCCCAAGTCCTAAACGGGGTAAACAATTTTGCTTAAGTCTGTCCTAAACAGTGTGCATAATTTGTTAAACAGGGTGTTTCATGCACGATCGATTTCGTATTAGTGTGGAGTTGTCCTAAACAGGGTACTAAAATTGAGGGTGTTGTCCTAAACAGAGTACGTATTTTAGGAATTTTTTGTCCTAAACAGGGTCAGGGTTTCAAACCCTCAGCGGCTCACCTATACCCAAATATTAGTCGAGTACCCCCGGGGGTCTGAGGTACATTTTGATTGTTAGTTTGGAAGTTCCGTCGTGAAGAAAGTGCCATTCCATACACGATGCAGGACAATATGCCCATAAGTGATCGCCTGATCATCATTGAATCGGAAGTTCGAAATGATTGGACTTTGGGATCCTCGGATTGAGATTAATGAAGTGAATTGGAAGGTCTAAATAATTTGACTTTGTGATTGCCTGATTGAAATTAATGAAGGGAATCGGAAGTTCTAAATGATTTTGTTAAAGTATGCAAAAACAACCAATATTTTAAATTATTTTGAGTGTTGTTTTATTTACACAAAGTGGGCAAAGTTGATTTTATCTGTTTGATTTGGTTGAAAGATTTTGAAATCTGTCTTTTGTTCATATTAAGAGATGGACCATTAGAAAAGTGATGGTGGGGTGGGTGGGGCCAAAGTCAAAAAACATTTTCCCAGGAAATTATTAATAAAAAAACACATTCCTACGGATGTTGGCCAAAAAAAATATGCCCAAGGAGGATTTGTGTAGTAAGACTATTACAGATCAACTATGAAGTGAATGACAAGTCCAGATTGGAAATAAAACGTGATTTTTTTAAATCTCAACATGACTCATGAGTAAATATTGTTAAGGACTACCTTGATTTGTACAGTCGTAGGTCAGGCATTGAAATTGAAGAGTTCAACATTTTACATGACGATGTATTATTCACAAATCTTTGCTGACCAAACAACTAGGAACTTTTTGGAATAAAAGTTACCCTGTGTATTGATGTATATTATTATTCATTCAAAATATTTCTTCAGTAATTCACTATAACCAGTTACTGCTGACCAAAATTGGAAGAATTTTGTGTTTAACGAGGAAATGACGTCAAAAATGCAGCGTTCTTGCAGGTTAATGCACCCTTTAACCGAGAAGACCTGGGGACGAAGTTGAGTTGTTTTGGTTGTGAAAGCAAAAAATTGGCGGACATTTCACTCGTGTCAAGAGTAAGAACTAGGCCAAATAATAGCTAAAAACATGGCAAGAACAGCAAGAACATAACTCGAAGGGCGACATCTGCTATTTGGAGAATATTTGCGGAGCTGGACCTAATAAAACGTGCACTATCGAAGGTGAACTTAACATCGATGGAGGTAAGCTTGTTTTAGCTTTGTTTTTAAACTAGGAATTCTTTTGAATGAATAATAAAACAATTATTGAATTCGGCTTCTGTATCATTTGAAGAATGATCTACAAGAAGACTTTCAACGACAACTTATGTAATGACAAAAGTTGACCAGTTCAAGTGTACTTTTTCAAGTAACAATAGTGTGAATCAGCGATTTACATGCTTCAATACGTTCTTTGTGATCTTTATATCTCTCTGACTATTTTGTTTTGAGTGGACACTAACTGGACTTGAGTGAATTTTATAATCCAACCACATTTTTGGACTATGTGATAACCTCGAAGGAAAATATGATAATATTTCTCACAGCCAATCGGGTTTTACTGCTGTAAGCTAAATTTCAAATGATGAAGATTGGCACCTGTCATGTCCAGTCAGGATAAAAGGAACTACAACAGGCTAGTGTGAGATTAAGTTGTCTTGTAACAAAGCTGAAGCCTTAGAAGAAATACAAAGTTTGCGGAACTATCAAAGTACGTGTGTCTTTTCTGTGAAGTCGGCCCGAGCTAGTCCTCTTCAACTGGGTTCGGAATTTTCACAATTTCACTTTGTGATCGCCTGGTTGAGATAGAGACTGTGTTCCTTGAACAGGATAAATAGCAGAAACATCTTGAAGTGTCTCAGTTTGTTTGTGCTTTTGGTACTACAAACATATACCGCATTTAGGACAGGATCTATCGATCATTGTCCTGATTCCTTGGTCCTGAGAGTTCTTTTGACTGAGGTAGGCAAGTCTGTGCTCCAAGGAAAAAAGTTTAAAGATCGAATGGC